GGTTTTGAATGATTCTGAATGGTTCCACAGATCTACAAATTCCAGTTTTCCTAAGATACAAAACCAACTCAGCAGTCTTCTACCATATCACCAAACAATAACAAACAGGGACAACACGGAGCATTTGAAAATAAGTTTCCCAAGCTTTTTTCAATTGGCAAGTTAGTTAATATTCTAAGACACATCGGGGTCAGGTCAGAGGGAAGGAAATAATTTCCTGAGACCTAACTAGCAAGCCAACATTATGAGTCTATGAATCTATACCGGAAAATTACATTCAATTGAAACACGCACACACACATCCATCCAGCTTTGGTCCTTTCTCTACCAATACTATATTCTCGAGTACTAAACAAACTCAGATAAGAGAATTATGAAAACTCGCTTCATCACAAAGCACCAAAGGGCTTTTTAATGATATAGGGAAGCGGTCCAAAGCAATGACAAACAGGTTTTATACACTCTAAAATACCAAGAAAAAAATGGAATACAATTTTTTTCACTCTCTCTATAAATCATTTCTGTCATGTGGCCTGCCCCTAAAACTAAAAATCGTTTGCTGATTTCCAAAACCATTGTACCTTATTTCAAATCCCCTACTTCACCAAACTCCAGTGAAAAAATGCTCTAGACATCAGTTCTATTGGGGGGGGGGAGAGTTTTAAATATTACCTGAGAAACGGCTTTTCATGCCCAGTTACACTTTGAATTACAAAGCCAACAGCCAGGCTGTGAAATAAGGCAGAATTTATGGAGCAGTACATGGTGGCAGAAACGGTGACGTGCAGGTTTGCGCTCGCAGGTGAGACAAGTACTGACCGGCCTGTCAATCTGGTGTTATCTTGAGATTCTGACACATGCGGTTAGCATGTCAGTACACAGTGTCCCCCACTTTGCCACATGTTGAGAAAGGACCCAGTAACAAGTAAGATCAAAGTGTCTCCACAAACAGAGGGACTCTGTGAGCCATGAGCAAAGTAACACAGCTAAAAGCAAACCTGATCGCCATCAAGGTACCCCAACAACTTCACAGCACCAGAGCAGCTCAGAGGGCTCACTCTCTAGAACCAAAGTACTTGTGACGCTAGCATGTTTTAAATTCATTTTTGCACACAATACCTTTCTACAAACAACCGACAAGCGCAAAACAGTCTTCTAGAGACTCTAACGACTTAAAAACACATCCAAGTTAACAGAGAAGCATTTCACAACTAGGAACTGCCTAACACAGCCCCTCAGCATTAGCAAACAAGGGCAAAGTTCACCACGTGCAAGAGAAAGCGAAATACACATGCACGGAGACGCTCAGAACCCATGCAATTTCTCACACCTCAAACAAGACAGACCCCACCCAGGTTAGTGCTGTCCACATCTTCCAAATTCCCAGCTTTTGCATAGTCTCACCAGACCCAAGAAAGCGGGCCCAACCGAACCCCAAATAGGGTCGTGAACATCAACGACTTGTCCGACACAGTCGAGCGCTGCCAGAAAAGGGGGAGGGGTGCAGGACACAAACCACAACAAAATAAAGCACATCCTCGAAGGCTCAGGCGCTGGCCACCCAGGCATTTCGAAGGCAGACCGCCAGACGGCCAGGGTCCGGCAGGCTGGAGCCCCTCAAAGAGCCCGGAGCCGCCAGAGGCCCCCTGGCCAATCTAGCGACAGCAGGCCCCAATATTAACCCGCCAGACCGCTCCCCCACCTCCCAAGCACACAATTAACAGGCCCTCGGCAACTTGGGGGCTGCTGGTGCCCTTTTGACGGTATAAAGAGCCCCCAAGCCGTCCGGAACGGCAGAAACCCCCAACTCCTGCCTCGGCGGCGGCCATGACAGCAAGAAAGCCGACTTTTACGACAACTCCCACAATGCCCGCGGCCTACAACTCCCAGAGTGCACCGGGCTGCGCCGCGGTTAACCCTGTCGTGGCGCCGGAGCTCGCGAACCCTGCTCCTCGCCTCCTCCCAACACCCAATTGTTGCACCAACTTTCACCCTCACAATTCGACACTAACTTTGGGAATTCTGGCTAGCGGTTACAGTTATGCTATCTCGGCTCCTTTCTTTACCCCACAAACAACCTCAACTGCCTAGAAAATTATGCCTGACAGAGTACTGTTTGTTATCTTCAGAGTACTCCTCACATGGCCAAATGTTTATCATGTAAGGGGTACACTGAGCCTCAATTGATCTTCCTCTTCGCCTTTATAATTTTCTGGCATTTTTCTAAATTATGATAGCCCAGAGACTTTGGTAGTGAACATTATTAATTTAAAATCTGTTTTCTAAGTTCTGAGAATCAGCAAGAAAGACTTCCTATAACTGACCCCAGAGTCCCTAAATCTCTCTACCTTATAAGACAAAATTTCCCAAATGTATTGACTCAGAAAATTTACGCAACTCTAAATAAATCCTAATAAGAAAAATCAGTTATGGGCAATATATCTTTTCAATTTCAAGTTAATTTTTTTAAGGGAAAACCCTATTGTGCCAACATACTTTGCTTTCCCTTTTTTTATTGATAGATAATCAGAAATAGCATATCCTGCTGCTTTATTCTTTTCTGACATTAAAATATCAGCAAACAACAAGTAAAGAAACATTTTAATATAATCTGAAAATAAACTAATAGTTTATTCTTTCAAAAAAATGCACAATCACATATTTTACTCACGAAAGAACTACGTCAAGGTCTTTGTCATTTTAATTAAAAAGAACGTTTAAACTACATTTCTTTTAAATACATTGCCCATCATTTCAGTAAAGATGAAAATCACATTTAGAGATCATTGTATCATCTATAGAAGTTTAATGTCTAAGATGTACTTACACAAATGTAACCTGCTCAGACGTGTAACTGACAGACAGACAAAATCATTGTTTGGTATTTGATGCGTGCATGAAAACAACACCTAGAATTCTCCCGAAGTACCTGCTGGTTTTCTCACACCCAAATATACGATGAAATCTACACAATGTCTGATTTTTCCACAGAAACATTTGCTATTTGAAAGGGCGCTCAAAATATATCATGAATTTCAAATCACAAGGCTCAGAAATCCTAATACACACACAAAACCTCAAAACCTTGTTGGAAAGATACATCTTCAGCAAAAGTCTACACCATTCTATTTTAAACGTGTCCCTTAATATTACATTTAGCTTATTAGTAAATTTTTGGATCCAGTAAACTATAACGAGAAAATACTTCTCCATCATTTATTTTTTCATTCATGTTACAGTATGTAGTTTAATTAAAAATTAAAATAAATGCTATATATCAAGACATAAAAAATTACATATACATTTTGAATTTTAGTTTATTATACTATTTTAGCTTCTGTATTTTTCTAATTTTCACTTAACACTTTAGTTAGAATTTAGCTGGGAGAAGTTGCATTGTTTTCCCTCTATTTTTTAATAGCTGCCAGACCATAAAAATTTAATGCGTATTTTATGAATTATTCTCCTGATGTTAAAATGTATGATTCATAAGAAAGAGTCAAAAATAAGTCAGAAATGAAATTGATCTCCTCGTATATTTATTACATGCTTACAGCTCTCTTCTCAGTGCTATGAGATTATATTTTCCATTAGGAAGTTAGTCATTTTTTTCTTTCCTTTTATTCTTCAAAATACAAGATTTAAAAATCAATATATAAAGGACTTTATTTAAAGATTACATTAGAAATAATTTTATACATTTTTTCAGATTACCATAATTCTTCTTTTAAAGATAACTTAGAAGTTTACTATATCCTAATTAAGTAATTTAAGTAAGTCTTAACCTATATACTTAATATTAATATCAACATATTTATAAGGAGAAAACAAATTTATTCTAGAAATGAATTTTTCAAATTCATACCAAAAAATTTAGTATTTTTCTCCCCCATTTTTAGATTCTATTTTACTCCATGAAGTTTTATGTATATTTCTTAAAATCCTAAACCTTTAATACTATGATTTTTAAAAATATTCATATATAACTGTATTAATGTATTTAAAATGAGGAGAAATCTTGTTTACTCTTGAAACTATATGCTAATAGAGGACAAACATTGCAATCTATTTCTTTTCCCAAATGGGGTGTTGGTGACAAAGCCAGACTGTACAAATTTGCATATCTTACATCAGATTCTATGTATAATTTCGGTAACTATTTCTTTCATTCTTTTAACTTTATAAAATACGTAAAAGCATCTCTAAATGTTTGTTTAGATGTTTTAATTGCATTTTTAGTTTATCTGCTTTAAAACCTCTGATTTTCATATATATAGTTCATACTGTTCATGTAAGTAAACTGCATTAATAGAAACACTGTCAAAAATAAAATGAGTTGCTAATATTGTAATATGCTCAAAAAGTTAGTCTGTCTATTCTTTTCTTACATTACCGGTATGACACAAAGAAAAACTGAAAAGACGTCACACACAAAGGACAGGTTCTTGCCTGATTAAACAAATTGTTTATATTTACATTATGATCCTACAAAGCAATATTTTCCTAGCATGTGATTATGTCCCGTAATTTAAGCTTCTCTACTACTGCCCAAATCTTAATTAACTTTAATCCACTGGCCTGCTTTTAAAGCAGTGACCAGTCTTTCAAATTTATCAAAATAGTCTATTTTTTATTATCACGTACATTTACATTTATGTTTAGGAATATTTTAGTTGTCGAAAAAAATCTTTAGTTTCTGATTTTGCTAAATATAATTTTAATTTTGTTATGTCTTAAATACTTAGAAAATATGGATGATAAGAATTGTACTATCATGTCAGTCTATTAGAAAGTGCAAAAAAAGGGTCTTTTTTTTCCCCAACACATTGATCTTTCTAAATGAAAATTTTCCAACTAATTTGTTTTATTTAACTTAAAAATCTGTCTTTCTCTCATCTTCATAATGTTTTATACGAGTTAAGATAAGCAAAGCTTAAGTACGTCTAATTGAAATGCTCTCTTTTCAACAGATGAGTAAACAATAGAAAACTTTTGCTTACCTAAAGATGAAAAGTTTCACCTTTAAAAGGATCTCACAGATTCTTCAGGAGATAAACCTTCTGGCATTTTCCTATAAAAATGAAAAAGATACAGGTTAATGATTATAATCACTTCTACTCTCTGAAAAATCAATAATGGGATGATGGATATTTGAATTTTTTGAGTCCTAATTTTAGACAGCAAGGCTTAAATATAATTAAATTAAATCAATGATGCCAATTAAAAAATAATTCTGTTTTAAATTTTATTGCAGAACCATAATAAAATCGTAGTTTCTTATACTTAGTTCCACATTTTATTCTGCCATTGACGTATCTTGTGGGTCTTATTTATGACTCAATACTTTTAATATTCTTTCAATGTAATTAAGTCATTAACTCTCCTTATCTGTTTTTAGATGTTTTCTAATACGTAATAATACCTGTTTTATACATAGTTTCTATAGCCTAAATTTCAAATAAACAAGTAAAAGAAAAAAAAAATCCAAACTCTAAACTTTCTAGCTTTCAAAAGGCTTTTTCTAGCTTCAAATTAATTTCTCCAAAAACACATATTTAAAACACTATGTACTCTAAGATGGAAATATTAAATACCCAAGGCAGAGTAAGATTTAGGCTGAATTTTTAAAAACAATTATCTTGCTTCTCCTTCTCCTTTCTGCTCCTAATTTTCTCTCCATTTTAATGCAGGTTTACATTCATTAGCTCACATGCCTTCTCTCCAAAGAAAAATTATTTTCTGCTTGGACAATTTTCAGATTCCTTACATTTTCACTTAATTTCACATAAGCATCTACTATTTCGAACTCTGGAAGGGGGAAATTAGTATTAATTATGCTGCTTCTCCCCCCAGTTTCTTTTCCTAGACCTGTTTTCTAATTCCTCCCTCGGTATGATTCCACCAGACCCCACTTAGCGTTTTTTTTTTTTAGCATATCAAGATTTGTCTAACATTTCTTTGCCCAACATGTGAGGGCATATTCTGATTTTGTTTTTGTGTTCTGATGCATAGATCACAGTTGGGCTCGTGTTACCTCTCCTGACTCCAACCCTAAACAAACTAGGGCCTTGTGACCTTTCATTCCCCAGACCCCAGCAATGTCCTGTTCCTCACCAGGACATCCCATTTGGGATTCCACACGGATGAATAAAGTTGGCGAGCACAGGTGAGTTAGAAGGCCCAGAAATAATGCCAACCACAGGTGTCACTTTCGCATCACGGAAAGTCTCTTGCTCATACGTCACCTGATGCTTTAGAGCAATATAGAACTTAAAAAAATTCCTATGCACAAGCACTACCAAATTCCTTTTCCTTAAGTCACTCTTGGCTACTTGTGATTTCCTAAGGCTTTCTTTCAAAGGAGTGACCTTTGTGGTACAATTTTACAAACGCAAAGCGGAGGGTAGTGGACTTGGCCACGCAGGGGCCCGACCAATTTCTAGGGCAGAAGCAACATTTCTGCTAGGTGTCCACCCAGACTAAAAGCTTGAGTTCGGCCTTTCATTTTGCTTTGTCATACACTCCTTAGAGATTGGAGGTACACATACGATTGTGCTGTGCCTCAGTTTCTCATCTCTAACTTGATTCCATCCCTCAATGCAACAAGATGATGCTACAGTGGGAGCTGCCAGGGGAGACAGAATCAAAGGCAAAAAGAAGAGAGAAAGACTTAAACTAATAAAGCATTTATTCCTCAGCTCTACCCATTTTCCCGAAGCCGTTGTCCTAACGATGGAGGTGGACTGTGGTATTGGGCTAGGTTGAGGGGTACAATATGGAGAGCCTCTAACAGCCCCCAAATCCTACAACACTGCAGACAATAATATGGTCAGAAATAATGGCAATGTTTTTCTTTTTTAATTAAAAAAATGCCAAACTAAAAGCCTCTTTCTAAAATACTGACATGGTAGGTAAACGCTTTTCATAAAGAATAATACACAAGTGGGTTCGGAGCCATAAAAATCTTATCTTTGCTTCAGCCTCCACGCTGTTGGCTTCTTTCTCTCCGTGTAAACAGACACACTAGTCCTCATTCAGCAATCCAGTCCTATTGTAACTGGGGAGCAAGCACAGTGGGGAGCCTTTCCCCCCTCAGAGAACACTCCCTCCAGCCCCACCGTGGCTTGGTGAATTGTACAGCAAACTGAGCAGAGCCTTCTTAGTGTTCCGAAAGAGGATTCTTGCCCCCTCCCCTGCTCAGAACTCCACGCCAAATTAATCTGACTCATTAGTTCCTATTGAGACACTTCGTTATTTAAAAGAAAGCACGAAGCATAAACTTAGTTAAAAGTGATTTTTTTCAAAAGCCAAGATATATTTATCCTAAGCAGTAACAGATTAACATTAACTGCTTACCACTTTCAACACCAGCTGCAAATGGATTCTTCATTCGCTGGAACCATCGGCACTGCCAAACTCTCGCCCAAACTTCCTTTCCATTTTAGGAAACCAAGTTCCTAGAAATAATAGAATAAGAATTTTCCTTATCGTGGGCTTTTAAATGTTAACTACAAATCCACTCTAAGACTGTTTAGCATAAAGTTAGAGTTTTCTCTCTCTTTCCCTCCTTCTCTCTTCTACTTAATTTGGGAAAAATCGCCAGCTTCTTGACTTAGCTTTTCTACCTAGGTACCACTCAAAAACTGAAGGAACTTCCTCCCTCTTTCCCTGCATCCTGACTTGAAATCCCTCTTTAAACACACCACACATTTCCCTGGCTTCACTGTACTGCAATCCTGGCCAAATTTCACCAAACTCTATCCTCATAGAAAATGTAAAATGCAAAATGAGGGGGTTGTACAGGACCATCTCCAAGGTCCCATTTAGCCCTATCATTCTATATGTGTCTATGATGATCCAGAAAAACTGGAGTAACTGCATACAAGCACCCAAATTTGGGCCTCATTTCTATGTGTGTTGGTGCTGTCACTGTGTTTCTGTAAACTTTGTGCTGAATTACAACAGAAAACAGATTTTTCTGCTTTTCTAGGCTAACAGACCCCTCTTAGCTCTGCTTCTTCAACTTGATTCTTTTCTTTCTCTAAGAAACCATTCTGTATTACTAATAATGATAACTCCATTCTTTCCATCAAGACCATCACTACCACAGCAGCCTTTTTCTGACCTAATTGAGCATCTCTTAATAATACTGTAACACATTCTTCTAAGTAAAACAATAATGTTTACTCACCTGCTCCCTACTATCTTCATCCTCATCCTCATCCTCTGAGACCATTTACTGAGAGCTTCCTGGGTGACAGACACTGTTCTAAATACCGCACATTTAATCCAGCAACCTTATAATGCAGATTCGACTATCATCCCCATTTTATAGATGAGGAAATTGAGGCCAACAAAGGTTAAGCCGTTTGCCCAAGGTGTATTCCTAGTGAGTGAAGGATCCAAGTTTGAAAAGCACACATGTGGGGTACACAGCATGCGCCCTAAACCGTGATGCACTGCCTCTCTGATTAAATGATTTCCATGGGCCCTCCCACCTCTCACATTCTTTAATTACCCAGCACTTGCTTATGTCAGAATATCTAGTCTCCCAACTGATGAATTAGGCATAATCAGAATATTTACTTTATGGAATTGTTGTGAGAATTAAAGAAATTTAGCGTAAAGCGCTCAAAACAGTGCCTGGCGCAGAGGAAATAGTTTGAAGAAATGCCTGCGATTATTTAATGGGGAACGCCTCCATTTGCAGATGAAGACACTGATGTCTGTAGTTAGTAGAAAAACTAGGACTGGAACCCGGAAGTAATGCACCCTGCTTCTTTTTAAAAATACCGTTTATTAATGCAGTGCTAATTTCAGAGACACACAAATTTTAAGTCTTCAAAATATCTCCCGTCTTGTGTTTCTTAGTCCAGGGCTTTATCCACTGAACCACACTACTCTTGCTAAAAAGCAAATACCAAGGAATGAAGAATTCTGGGTTTCCCTGCCCTCACGCCCTAGCACACAGCTGGACTTTGCTACCAGTAAATTGACAACATCTAACCATTTTTGGAAGAGCAAGCTTACCAGAGGCTTCCCATCTATTAAAAATCACCTCCACGTTGAGTCGAGCTTTAACGTCTTTTCAAATGTTGATATTGATTTGGTGAAACATATTCCTCACCAGAGACACCCTGTACTTGAAAATTAGCCCTTTTTATATGTATTAATTGAAAAATAAATAGGTGGTCAGAAGGAATGGTCTCCTTCCCTGTATAAACAAAACTGGGGCTTGCAAGGGCTGTGTAAGCAATATTTATATTTTTCAATCAACGCGACATATTAAATGTGGTGACAGTCCATTTGGGCACACATTTGTCTACAGCAAAGAATGAAAGGACCCAAGCTCAACACAACTGAAGCTGGACTCCGCATGCCATAATTTTACAGAGAAACAATCACTATTGGAGGTATGTTTTCTTTCTGTGTCTTCATGGCAATAAATAAATAAAGACACACATTTTGTGATAAACAAATACTATACTAACATATCAAAAAAAGTATTGCATTTCTTGGCTAGAACACAGCCACCGTAGTAATACCTATTCAAAGGACAAAAGAAGCCTTTTTAAGAAGCACATTGGTCTGGTCATTCCAAAAAGGATTAAAATAAAATCATCTTGGTACTGTTTATATTTTCATAACTTATATCGTTAGCTTCAGACTTTCAGTTAGCTTATACCATGATACCGGCTACTCTGATTTCCTCTCAAGTTCTTATCCAAAAATCCAGGGTCCTCAAATTCTGTTAATTCCGTGACCTTCTTTGAGGAACATTCCACCTGGCCCTGAGGCCAGAACCCCAGACTTTTCAGCATTTAGCGCAGGCAAAGAAATAACGAGTATGTCTTTATTTTTTAATGTCTACTGTGCTTTTCTAGCAGTTTCAATTCTAGAATGTTAAATGCATTTAAAAAAAATAGTATTTTCGCACAGGATTTTCCTTTTACACTGGTTTATATGTTGCTGACCATACCCGAAGAATGAAGGCGCCACCTCAGAACACGGAATTTGCCTATCAGTCCAGAGAACTTTTGAATCTTGCTCCCTTCTTGTGCATGCACAAAAAATGCTATTTCAATAAGATTGTATTTTATTAATACATGTGATATTTTTTAACATTAAAACATTGGATCCCAAGTTGTTTTTTTATTTTTTTACTATTTATTATGGAGATTTTCAAACATAAAAAAGAAGAAAGAATATAACAAACATCCATGCATTCATCATCTCTACTTAATAATTATCAACATTTAATCACGTTTGCCTCATCTCTTATTTTTTGAGGAAGATTAACCCTGAGCTAACATCCGTGCCCATCTTCCTCTGTTTTACATGTGGGATGCCGGCCACAGCATGGCTTCTTAAGTGGCGCGTAGGTCCACACCCTGGATGCGAACCCCAGGCAGCCGAAGCGAAATGGCCAAACTTAACTGCTACACCATCGGGCAGACCCCCATCCCTCTTTTTTTTTTCTTTGCAGAAATACTTTAAAGGAAATTATAGATATCACGGCATTTCACTCCCAAAGACTTCATTTGTGCATATCTAAAAAGTAAGGACATTTTCCTACATAACCAGAATGCCATTATCACGCCTACATAATGAACAATTAATTCCCTACGACCCAGGCCACAGTCTAATTTCTCCAGTTGGAATCTAATTTCTTGATCATATCTTTAAGTCTCCATTCTGTCGTCAGTGACAGTACACATGTCTTCTTAAATGAAAGCTACCCCTAAAGTGGTTAATTCCAACCAGGTCTGCTAAGGACGCAGCACCCTCCCTGGACTGCTGCAAGCCCATTATCTGACGGACCATCAGGTTTCATCCAGCCTTGCTCTTACACCTACTGGGGACGTCATGTTAAATCAAACACGGATGAGAACAGGATAGAAGATCCGGTGGAATTTCAAATAGATATTTTCCCTCAAGAATCAGTGTGCACTGGGGAGCAAAGAGAGTGAGACGAGGAGACTACAAAACCCTAAATATAATCACATAGTTTAAAAGGGGTTGTTTTGCTTAATCATTCAGTACAGGTCTCTAGAGCTCAATCGACACAAGATGCAAAGCTGGTAATTTTCTATAGAGTCAAATTCATTGAAATGCAGAGAAAAAAATTCACTTTTCCTTCAATCATTTAGTTAACTCGGTAAAAGCGAAATTATAATAATCCACGGAGGGGTGTGTGGAATAACTAGATTTTTGGATGTCCTGGGAGTGAGGAGTACAGAGGTTCTTTGAGGGGTTGGGGGAGGAGACTGGAAGCTGACCTGACATACGGTTTAAGTCGTGCTCAGTCACGCAGACCAGGGCGACAGGTCTCACTTCTCCTTTTGTAGGAAATAATCAGAATAGAGAAAATAGGTAATTGAATTAAGATTATCATGTCTCTCCAATTCCATCTGCAAGCTGCTTGCTTTTCTAGAAATGAGAAGGGCTTCTATATATGACTCTCTCAAAAACTGGTGCAAACCAGGGAAGACGGTCAAAGGTGGTGCGGGCTCTGACACTCGCAGCCGTCCTGAGGGCAGCTCTTCCAGGCTGATCAGGGTGAGAACATTGCTTGGGGCAGCTAACCAACATTCTTTCTCAACCTTTACCTTCTATATCTTCTCCTTTGGCCTGAATCCACAAAGCCACCTACAAATGTGTACTATTATTATTTTTAAATTGTTATTTTTATTGATTTACATATGACTGAACTCATTAAGGAAATCCAAATTTTGCTTTTTGCACTGAGGTTCAACTATGTGGGGAAAAGGTAAAGATACCTCTTCTTTGCCCTGTAACCAGAGCATATCATATTATGCTTTTCTCTGTTATTTCTTCTTTAATAAGGGAACTATGACAAAAATATGGAGTAGAAAATATTGACTGGTAGTATCAGAATTGAGTGAGGCATGCCCTTCAACACTCAGCCATATGCCACTCCCTTAAGAAGCTTGTTCTCAAAGACGTGCCAATGTGCCCACGTATACATTTACAAAAATGTATGCGTAGAAATGTTTACATTTGATGCGCTATGATAATTTATGTAGCGGAAGTCAAAGTGAACTACTTCCAAAATGGGACCAAAGGGCAGGATGGGAAACTAGAATGCAAAGACAGTCCTCATTCTCTTCCTTTGGTCACCAAAAACTTTCCAGAAAAATCGAGAGATAACGTAGTTGTTGGCCATTGCCCCTTACTACTCTTTTGCATAAAGCCTTTAAAGCAAGAAAAATGGCAAATATGCAAGAAGGAGAGAAAAGCTGAAAAGGATCTACGGTGATCTCAAAACTCGGAAATCCATCCTTGACTCTGACATTGGCTGCAGAACCACTCAAGGCACGTGCAGATGGACAGACAGGCTGTACACGCATCCTTGCTCACGTGATCATCCCTGTTGACACTTTCCTGCTCTCACTCAATGCCATATTACAAGAAACAACCTCAAAATAAACACACACAACACACTGCAGACAACTTTACACGCCCCATAGGGAAGGGATTTATCTTTCCTCTAAAGAATTCCTCTCAAATGCAGTTTATGACCTAAACAGTTCTGTATTATGCCATCCTTTACAGGCATTCCACTGTCCGAGAAACAGAATGCCAGCATCACTCACTCATCTGAGAAATACTTATTGATTACCTCTACATGCCTGGTAGTAGAAACACGGGTCTTTAAAGTTGGAAGGGTCCTCAGAGATCATCTAATTCAATTTATTTGCTCTACAGAGGGAGACAAGAGAGGTACAATGACTTACCAAGGCCATGCGGCTTGCTGAATTGTTTCTCTACTTAAATAGATGGCAAAGAGCTCAAAAGAAGGAAATGCCAGATAGTAAGCCGGGGCTGTTATAGAGAATAACTACCAAAACTAAACAATTAAGAGTTGTACTTTCTGATAAGTTTTCAGGAGAAGAAAAAGATTCTAGCCATTTGCCCCATCCCCTCCCCCCACATACACACACTTCCCACCCCCTCACACACGCATCCTGCTGTGTAATCGTCAACCAACTGCCTCCAGGCACCTTCCCCAGCCCAGGTGTCGGTTCGGAAAAGAGGGATGAGAGGGAAAGAGCAGGACACTGGCGATAGGACATCAAGACTGCCCAAGACACAGTCCAAACCCCCATTCAGAAAAATGGCTAGATCCTACAGAGTCACCTCAAACCAAATATTGATAAGGTGGCTCCTTTCTCTCAGAATCTGTAGCTCATTGCACTGTGTAGCTGCACAACACCTTAAGGCCAGAGCAGCTAAGAAGTTAATAGAGAACAATTCTTACAATGAAAGAGATGAAGGGAAAAGAAGAGAGAAAGAGAAAAAACCTATTTTTTCTTGTTCATTTAGTCTCCTGACAAGGGACCTTACTGTCTCCTGGTGTTAACTTCAATGGTCTCCTTTTAGGGAATGAGTCAAAAGGAGGCAGCTGGTGCCTTTTAGGATTGACCGTGCTCTGGACAAATTAGAAGTTGCCATTAGGAATTCTGAGGGGAAAAATTTGGAAGATGCTTTTTTTTTTTTTAAATAGTGATGTTATATCTGTTAACATGTACATTTTTTTTTTTTTTGGTGAGGAAGATTGGTCCTGAGCTAACATCTGTTGCTAATCTTCCCCTGTTTGTTTGAGGAAGATTGTTGCTGAGCTAACATCTGTGGCAATCTTGCTCTGCTTTGTATATGGGATGCCACCACAGCACGGCCTGATGAGTGGTATGTAGGTCCACGCCCGAGATCTGAACCCGCAAACCCTAGGCCACCAAAGCGAAGCACGTGAACACAACCACTATGCCACCGGTTGGCCCTGCATGCAATTTTTAATTAACTTTCAAAAATTTCATAGTATTAAAAAAAAATCTATATTCTGGTCTCTTAAAGTAGTTGTCAATATTAATGAAAGCTTAGCAAGTAAATTGTATTTATTTCTAAAATAAAATAAAATAATGTTCATCATCATCCCAAAAGACAGGTTGTCAAGGAGAGTTAAAGATCACCTGGTCCAGTTTTCACCTTTTGTAAACAAGGAGAGTGGGATCCAGAGAGAAGTGCCTGAAGTCACACAACCCACAGGCTGAAAATCCAGGATTTCTGCCTCACGTCTATTTCTCTTTTCTGTGCCCTGGAATTTCACCTTTCCAAAATGTTTAACCACTTGTCACCTAGTTTAATACTGTAAGGAAATCTTTGCGGTAGAGTGTTATGCTCATTTTCCAGACAGAGACATTACTGTAGGCGTCTACACTAAGAGTCACAGCCAGACTCAGAAACAAAGTCGGGTCTCCCGACGCTGAGTCGGATGTTCTCCTAAATGGGGTCTGAAAATAACAGTTTCTGTTTACACAGCGTCTACATTTTTGCTTTGTATACTATGATTTTTCTTTAGTACCCCAATAAACAAACAAACAAAAATAAACACAGCCTGTTTGAATTGGAGATCAGAATACATGCAAGTAGTTACCTTGAAAAAAGAATTCCAACACAGCGTCCCCCCAACTAAACAGTCATGGAGAATGTATTGATTTGTCAATTCCCTCCTGGACCTAGCGTCAGGTTTGGCCATGGCTGGGAAGGCCAGCTCGATGGGTTTTTCTCTTTCATAGCAATCATTCAACAGAGGAAAGAAGCTGAGTCACTAGGAATTCACCAAATGAAATTGATGCTAAAGCTCACTGAGCCCGTGGCCAAGGTAGGAGGTCCTCCCGTGCAGACCTGGAGAGAAGAGACCCCTGAAGAGGGAAACGTTACCCCACGCAGACTCCACAAACTCCACGCAAGGGACCACCAAGGGCTTTGAACCTTCTGCCACCGAGCTCTTCCAGACTAAAGACACCATAATCTGTGTTAGTTAGAGTCGCTCATTTAAAGCTTAGAAGCAGAGAAAATTGAGCAAACACCAAGGCCATACCAAACTATAATAGTAGCTTTCTCAAAGTACATTTAGAGAGAAGGAACCAGACTTACCCCTGTTAGGAACAAAACTATCACAGGTGACCACAGCTTGAATACCAAAACGATATAGGACCCCATTAGAATCATTTGACACTGCTCATTTGGGAAATTGTAATATTTTAAAAATTGTTAAAGGGGGCCGGCTGGTGGCGCAGCGGTTAAGTTCGCATGTTCCACTTCTCGGTGGCCCAGGTTCGCCAGTTCAGATCCCAGATGCAGACATGGCACCACTTGGCAAGCCATGCTGTGGTAGGTATCCCACGTATAAAGTAGAGGAAGATGGGCATGGATGTTAGCTCAGGGCCAGTCTTCCTCAGCAAAAAGAGGAGGATTGGCAGTAGTTAGCTCAGGGCTAACCTTCCTCAAAAAAAAAAAAAAAATTGTATTCTCAAGAAGTCTGGATAATTTGTTTCATGCAAGGGGATTGCAGATAGGTTTTGTCAGAATTGGCAGTTAACTAGATCTCTCCGGGTTGTGTGGACAGAGAGGAATAAAGATGTTTCTTCATTCCTTCTCCCCTTCCTACCCGGTACCCTCCAGCCCCGTTTTCCAGAGAAAAAACATGCCCAGGAAAATCCAAATCCATCAACATGGAAAAAAATCAGTAGGGATGGGATCATGTTTGGCCAAGTAACAGCTTTATATTAATTATATTAATTATAAACATAGACCCAGACATTGGGTGAAATGTGGTTATAAGATTAATGGTATAGATTATTGGTAAAGATGAGTGACGTTCTTAAACGTTAATACTGTATAGCCCATACCACTTTCGATTAAGTAGTCAAATGAAGTTGCAAAAGTCAACAATGCTTATTTGCAAACTACTTAGCTGAACCTCGGAGCTTTTTAATAAGAGCGTTTGGGATGGCTCTACCCATGACGTAATGCAGTATCAGGGTTTACTTAGAGCCGTGAATACAATACATATATAAAAACAAAAGAATATTAGAATATGCTTGCATACATTCATTCATTTCTCCTTTCTTTGGCCATGGCTATAATGCAGATTAAAAAAAAAAAAAAAAAGGTTAAAAAAGTTAGCACAGCTCTGGAGACTAGCTCTGATCCAGGCAAATCTGTGCTAGGACACACTGTTTTTAAATCAAAGTAGCCTGTAAAATTGCTAGGGGGTGAAGTGGTCTCCTTGTCCATTTTTATCGACAATTATACTTGTGTACCATCTTCGTTCTGGGTAGCCGATTTCCTTCCCATCTGTAAATTTTAAGCCAGTGCTTATCTGAATGCCTGACGAATCTTGAGAATTAAAAATGCTTTCAAAATTCTAGTCAATAGTGACAGTGAGAGTGATCAAGGCCCGAAAGTTTGTTTTGTTGTTTTTTTGGTAACATTTGGCTAGCAAAAGAGATATAGCAAATAGTTGCCAAGCGTGAACCAATAATGATATCATTGAGAATGCTTAAACCTTTTTATTTGGGGTAAGTTTCAAATAGAAAGTTCTTCAGTAAAATGGACATGGGAAACTGATAAAAAAAGAAAGAAAATTTTTGTTGACAAGAGAAAATAAAGCTTCCCTGAGATGGGATCCAATTTCTCTGGTAATTAAAAAAAATCATTACTTTGTAATGTTTATTTTATGTGGCATGTTGCAAACATTTTAAACTGTAATTTTATATTTCTTCGTATATGGCATTTTGTAAAAAAGAAAAAATAAAGTCATGAAGACAAACGCTTCTGACCAATATTGAGAGCTTAAAAATATTATTGTTACTTACATTAAAATTAGCAAAAACAAAATCTTGCCAGTGTTTTTCAATTCTTTCTAACAATACTTTTTAAATACAGATAATTTTTTTTAAACATTAGACAAAATCAAAACTTCTTGAAGATTTATTTATCATGATCAAGATTTTAAAGGTTAGCGTTACATCAGAATTCTTCAATCAAAACCTAAAGAAAAGAAGATCATTTAGAATATCTGAAAATATATTTTAAAAAGAAACACAATCTACTTGTTAAGATTTTATTGATTTTGGCAACTCCTTAAAGAGATCGGAATATAGATTTTTTTAATGCTATGAATTTTTAAAAGTTAGTTAAAAATTATATGCTAACAGATATAATATCACTATTTTTTTAAAAAGTTTTTGAGTAGCTAGCAAATGCATAATGGTAAATAGTAATAAAACAGTAAAATGCCATTTTAGTTTTCATCTATGGCTCCTATTTAATAAGATATCATTACGCTTTTAAAAAATTTTTTATGTTAAATTATGTGATTTTATTTTAACTCAGGAACATATGTATATATATCTATATTTTCTTAAATGCAGTTCATTGTAGTCAAGTTATTTTTTTTTCAATCAAGGACTAATGCTTAAACATTTAGATAGCAAAGTCAGGAGACAACAGGGCTTATCCCTAAGATTTCTCTTGATGTTGGTATAGTTCTATACAATCACTATGTGCCAATTACTGTGCTTTTATAATGTCAATATATCTGGATAAAAACCAAAAGTCTGCACAGGGCTGTGTTGCCCGGGTGATGCCTGATACCTGAATGTTTGTAAACGTCAGGTAGCTGGAACTGTCACACAGCATTTTAGCATCCTCTGAAACCAAGCCATCCCTCTTTAACTTAAAAAACTGTAAGATTAATTAATTAAGGAACTAAAGTAAAGTAAATGCAACTAGTTAACCACAGATTTGAAGGTTCTAAACCTGTATTAAAATTTCCCTCTCTGTTGCTTCTTTCTATGGTAGTTCCTACGTTCTGTGTGATACCCTTTATTACCATTATTATTATTTTTTACCCCATAAGATGTATAATATTTATTTCTACATCAATGTAAATACTTGGTTTAGCAAGATATGATTATCAACTGTGTTCTGAGCTACATTTTGCATCAAAATTGTAATCGGCTGCAGCTGTTTCATTTAGGGCTAAGAGTTGGCAAAATGGAAAATTTAAAAAGAGTGATATTATTTTCCTTTGAAAACGTTACTTATGATACTACAAGTCTCAGTTAAAACAAAAATATTCCTTTTCCTGAAATCATTGTTTTAGGAACTTTTAAAAAATAAAATGCAAGAGAAGTTCAATATGCCATATAGTTTCTCTTTCTTGATACTGGTTCATTTATTTGCATGTAAAACCAAAAATGCATTATGTTTATATGCATTTTTAAAACCTATAAATGAATATGTGACTAGTTCTAGAATGTATATTTTATCTTTGAAATTTATAAGCAAATTGAAGTAAATAGAAGGCTTATAATTCAACTAAAAGGTACAAAAACATGAGCAATAAAATACCAAATTGCTAGTATTCAAAGTCAAATTTTGTTATTTTGTTTTGCAAATCTAAAAAGAACTTAACTAAAATAATTTTTACAATTTTATATTTAGTTAGGATAGCTTTTAGTTTTTCCCAAATGTTTTACAATGAAATTTCTATTCATTGTTTTACAAATACATATACTGCAGAATTTTTTCAATTCAATTTTTCAAAAATTTAAATTAACAAAATCTTAAGCAATTAATACTTTCTTAGTATATCCTTGCTTTTCATGGAAATAAAACTTTAATGAAATTGGCTCATCTTCCTTTCAGTATTTCAAATATTAGTATTTCAAATATCAAGAATTTAAACTGTTTTAAAAAGCATAAGAAGAGTTTTAAATGTTTACAATAATTGTAGTCCTAAGCAAAAATATTTATGAATTAAAAATAATTCATATTAAAATTCAGAAATTGCCAATGATTCCTTATGGGGAGAAAATAGAGAATTATATTGGTTCTTAACAGTATCATATGTTAACTCTTAGACCAAAATGGTTTATTTTGGTCTTTTTAACATTTTTATGAATTATTAAAGGCTCAAATATCAGGACTAAATTGACAATGAAATTCTATAGTTATTAATTTGCCTTTATCAAAATGTACCTACTTGGGAAAAATTTAAACAGTACAATTTGTAGGGTAACATTCTCTTTCTATAATTTGGTTGTTTCTTTTAAAATAGGGTTCACATAAATATGTGATAACATGTCTTGCACGCTTGCAAGATATTTATAAGATATGATTTCTAAAAGAAAACATTTTAGTCAGGTCTGCTTTTTCTTCTGACCCATAAGTCAGTTGCCAAATTGTATTTGTAATCGAAGTTTAGTTTTTCAGATTATTTTAGAATCATCTATTTTTACTTTAATTCTCAAAATACGTGAAGTTAAAAAAGTATAATTATATCATTTTAATAGTAACCAGTAGTTTAATATTTAGTGATTAAGGCCAGTATTTTCCACAGGCTTTATAAAAGCCCTATGTTAAGAGTTTAAAATATTTAATTATGCTATCTTGAAAAAAATCTTCAGACATTACAAAATTGTAATGAAAGATCCTAAAAATTAAATTTGGAGACATTTTGTTTTTTGATTATGTTTTCTTTTTCCATTTGTCAATCTATTTTCATAAAGTTTAGGCTTTTTGCAAACAGATAGCCATTTCATGTCTCATATTTGGAATCACTGTTTTGATTATACTTTTGTTTGTAGAAAAACTGTCTTTTAAATTTTGTGCGTGCCTAAACCTTTCTTTAAAGCAGCATTGGAATGACCGTGATTCTGTTGAATGAATTCCACGAGTCCACATTTGAAGAACAAGTGAGGTAAATAATTAAGCTCCCTTTAACTATTTCTGGTTTAAATATTCTGCTTCTAATTTTCTAACAGGACCTATGACAGGCCTCAGCAGTAGTAATTTCTGGCATGAATGAGTTTCAAATTTTGTTTTAATTTAAATATCTGATATATTTCAGGGACTGTTAATCTATCCAATTTTTACCCTGAAATTTGCAGCCCAGTTCAGCTTTATGTGAATATTTACTTAAAAAAAATTTTAATATATTTGTAATGGGTTTAAAAAATTTTTTTAAAACATCATCTATCTTTAGCTGACCAGATCAGTGTAATTACTTTTAAATTTATGCACCTTGATAATTTCAAAGCTTGGCTGTTACTTTAGCATCTATCAATAACTCCCCTCGTTTGCACTAGACACACAGGTCATAATTCCTTCCTTTATTTTAATTGTGTCATTCACAGGAATATACAAATACCACGTGAACAGAACCACAGGGTATCACATCCAGCTTAAGGAGTTTCTTTTCTCTTCTGTTAAATCTTGTGATCTGATCTGAAAAAGAAAGGTACCTAAAAGGTTAGTCTTGAGAAAACTTTTTTCGAGGGTAGTGGGGAGTCATTACTAATGCAATATTTGTTTATCCTCTTAAAAATAACTTTAGATTTTCTTAAAAGAGGATCTTCCAAGAGTCCTACTTTCTTTTCCTTTAAATTATACACATTTCATTGAGGTCAAATGCACAGAAAAAAAAAAGAAAGATTCATGAAATTTCTTCCCGACTCAAATCCTGTGGTCCTCTTCAGACTCTCGGGGTGAAGAGCAATTATCCGGTGAATTGATCAGTGAGGACAAATAATCCACATAATGCAGGCTCCTCAAATCTTCTTTTTTCAGTGAGAAGATTTTTTTTTTCCTTTGAATTATCTGAATAATTGCTTCAACTCTTCACTTCAATTTGCATGTCTAGACAGGAAACTAGACTGAATAAGGCTTGGAAGGACTGTGATTTTTGAAACTGCTTTTTTTTTTTGAAACTGCATTTTGAATTGTAATTCTTACTATCTCCCATGTGTAACCACACGGACTGCTGTTATCTGAGGCCTTCCGGGAATCTCGTGACATTGTAAGCAGTCATTATCCAGAAATACATATGTATGTTTTAAAACTTACCAGGATCTGTTTTACTCTTTCTCTTTTAAAAGCCCACCACAGATCTTCTTAATTTGGCACTTATATTCAGGAAAATATGAATTACCTCCCCTCCCACCCAGTTTTCACGAACAAATGAAAGTGTTTTACCTCTGGATACAAAAAAACCAAGTCTTTATTTGTGGCTTTTTACATACATTGCCGAATGATTACTTAAAGGTAACTCTTTTTAGAAAAGAAAACTGGACGCAGAAATGATTTACTTTGTTAAACATAAGATTTGTTCAATTACATTTTGCTAAAACTCTTTTTTAAAAAAAGTTATTGATCATTTCATAAGACAAAAAACTGGGCTACTTTAAAAAAAAATTATGTTGTTTGAGGAACATGTAAAAAAAAAAAAAAACAACCTAAATCTTGATTCATCATTTCTTCAAATGGCTAATGGCGGACTGGAAAGAGTTAAAAATGTGATGGAATGAGGGTGTTTAAAACGTACAAACTTCCAGTTATAAGATAAATAAATACCGGGTTATAATGCACAACACGATGCCCATAGTTGACATTGCTGTATGTATATTTGAAAGTTGGTAACAAAGTAAATCCTAAAAGTTCCCATTACAAGGGAAAAAAAATTTTTTGTAACTATATGAGGTGATGGATGTTCACTAGATTTATTGTGGTGATCATTTTGCAATATATGTAGTCAAATAAAAAAGAAAAAAGAAAAATAAATAAAAGGAAAAAACATGATTGAATCAGGAGCTCTAATAAATGTTAGCTTATTGCTGCAACAATTACTATTGCCATATTGATAAAGAAAGACCTCGTATGGAATCCTTCATTTTCAGCCATTTTTAATCACTCTTCCTCCAGATTAAAAGCTAGAAAGTAAAGCTTTAGCATTAGATCCAAAAACCATACACCTCTTTGAATTTTGTTAATTAATTGGGCTTAAAACATTACTCGAGCACCATTATATTTCCTCGTTGTTATTGTTGAGACCCACAAAATGGCGGCTGGAAACACGCTCTTTGGCATCACAAATGGGTCCTGTTCAAGTTGAGCTAATCAAAAAAAAAATTCAAAACAAAAACCATTTTCATCATAAATGTAGTAGAACTGTTAGACTCCACCCCGATGCTAAAATTGGAGATTGCCTTTCGAAGGTGGCCCTTTCTTAAGCCATTTTGACTTGGACGCACCTAGATAAATTCGTATAGGCCTTTCCCCTAAAAAAAAAACTGTCCCAAGGGGATTAATTTCTTCATTTCTCATGTGATGATTCTTTATTCATGCTCTCTTTCCTTCTCAAAGTGCATGAACTAGTAAAATTAAGCAGAAAAGAGGCTGGGCTAGTAAGACTGCAATATCACTTTTCTAAAAAATTGCAAATTCTATCAATTAGTTGCAATCCTTTTCTTGATAAAATCTGGTCACTTTCTTTATCATGTGATCTACTTCTTCTAAAAGTAATTCTCAATATCCTGCCTGATACAATGAAAGTGACGTCCAACTTTAGATAATAAAAGCTATCGTTGAGTAGCTGGGGACCTCCGGGCTCTGAGACATCAACAGGGTTCCATAAGGATCAAAACAGTGAAACTCCCATCCCCTAAATGTTGCACAGAGCATTCAGCTGTCTTACCCTGTCTCTCCATCCCCAGGGTAAACCATCTCTGATTTACCCTCTTCAAAGACAGGGCCCATGCAACTTTACAAAGCCACTTCAAATTGTTTAGGGTGCAAACCTTATTTTTGGACAAAAGGGAAGAGGCTGAAGCACCAGCTACATGACTGGTTTTATGACTCAGCCAAACCTTTAGCCGACGAAGGCAGCTCTGGTTTCCAGGAGAGAAACCTGTACAAGTCAGCAGATGGGGATCAGCTAAGAGAACCCGTTAAGTATGAAGACCATTCAGTGTGGATTTTCTTTTCTTTTCTTTTTTAACATTTTACATTCTTTTTTTTAAGGTATGCTTTTTTTTTGGTAAGGAAGATTAGCCCCGAGCTAACATCTGTTGCCAATCTTCCTCTTTTTTTTTTTCCTCCCCAAAGCCCCAGTACCTAGTCATATATCCTACTTGTACGTCCTTCTAGTTCTTCTGTGTGGGATGCCACTACAATATGGCTTGATGAGCGATGTGTACATCTGCGCCTAGGATGCAAACCAGCGAACCCTGGCGCAGAAGGGGAGCCTGTGAGCTTAACCACTACACCACGGGGCCAGCCTCTCAGTGTGGATTTTCTAGTGCAGTCTAATTTCAGAAAATGCTGTTCTTTTCAATGAAAACAAACTATTAAACACGCACTAAATGGGATACAAATGTATAACTCTGAAAGACTTTTTCTATCAACAGATATAATTCAGGAAAAAAGGCATCCATCAGATAAAATGTCCCCATCTCTAGTTGGGGAACGATTGTCACCATCAAACCTAAGAATTTGGAAAATATTTCTTTATAAAGGATATAAGCATGAATGATAAGTTTTCAGTCCTCAGGGTTCCAAAAGGGTACAATATCCGGTAACCAGGGTAGAGGTTTACATTTTCATTTTGGGACATACTGGTGACCACAGGCCCTTTAGTCTTGATATACCTATTATTATATATTCATAGCTGTCTCCATAACCTCCAAATAAGCAATCAGTTTAATCAATTTCATCAGGACCATGGGAACTAGAACAAAGCACGTCAGTTGTTCGACTCTGTTAAGAAGCCGCTTGCACAGCAGACTCCATCTGGTTGGCTCATGTAGCCATGGAAGACGGAAGGGTTCTTGACTCCCTGACACAGCCAGCAGAAGGAAGTGAAGGAGGGACCTCAGCCTTCCCTTCTACCTCGTGCATCACTTGTCAACAGAGTCCCGACTACAGTAGACGGGCCCATCGAGCAAAAGCAGAGGGTTCACAGCAGGCTTTGCGGATCTGAGGAACCCACAGGTCCAATAGCGGGCGAAAGTATCTTTTGGCTTTGTGGCCCAAACCCTTGAGTTTTATACGTTTCTGAGAAAGAGCATGTGGAGCTGGAATAAATCTTTCGAAAATCTTGGTTTTTTTCTTGTGTTGTGTTGTTTGTTTGGGCGGTTTTTAAAACTGTAAATCTACAAAGCATTTTGATCACTGTGTTTTCACATTTACTGTTTGTAGGGGTCCATTTAAATTGCTATTTGAAAGTAAATATAACTTGGTAGTGTGCATATTTTATTGTGGTGGTGATTTAAGGAACATTATGTCTCCGTTTCATAGACTCTGATCTTCTTATGTTCCACAAGCAAACACATAACACTTCCCAGACTATTGGCAACCTGCATTACGGTTCTTGTGGTGTCAGAGCTGAACTTCTGTGCAAATGTCTTCATAACCTAAACAAATAAGCAAACCAGTGCAGCTTGATTCAGAGGTAACGAATGGACCAGAGTGGCTTCTTTTTGTCTTTTAGGCTGCTCAGCCTTTTAAAAACTGATCCAACTTAAAGTGGAATGGTCATGCATCATATCTAATTTATGTCACATATCATATTTAATATTTTGATGGAGTACTGTCAAAAAAATAACATATTGAGGAAATTCTAAGTTGGTTTACATAGAGCAAGAAAGCTCTGGTTTATAGGCATTTGAATGTACTTTTCTGTGACCACATCATATAACTACTTTTCAGCTTTCTCTTTTCTTAAATGATCTGATTCTAACAATCATAGCACCTTACACATGTATATGACTTTCGTGCCTCTGCAAACATTATCTCTTTTGATCCTCACAGTGTCAATACTGATGTTATTATCAGCCCCATTTCAGGGTGATTGAAAGCTCAGACTCCAAAATGAGACTGATGAGAATCTGAATCTTGATCCTCTTCATTTTCTAGCTGTATAATCTTGAGCAAGCTTCATAGCCATTCTGAGCCTCGGTTTACTTATCTGTAAAACGGGGATGATGATAATGTTTACTTCCTAATGTTGCTGCGAGGTTTAAATAAATAAAAGTACAGAGTATTGTGGTTGGCACAGAGTAAGTGCTCAATAAACGTTGGTGTTTAAAGAGACGGGAAATGAAACTTAGAGGTACTGAGGGGGGCATGCCTTTGATGCAACAAGGGCCAGGACACAGGTTTCCTGGCTTCAAAGCCGACAATGATGCCCTCTCACTTTGTTTGCAACGCAGCTGCTTTAAAGTGTGACTCAGCATTGTTTCTAATCACCTTCTGCCTACATACTGATCAAACGCAAAAACGCTTTTCCCTCTTGACCAGTGGACTTCAAAACCTTCCACAGATGCCTTCATGAAAGTCCATGGACAACTGGGCCTTGTCCTGGTATAGAAAAAATGCAGCAAGGTTAAGTCACAAAGGCAAATCACCGAGAAGAAATATTCTACAAAGAGGAGCTTCAGTCGTAGCTCGTGGCCTTAGCAGGAAGCTGTTCCAAGAAGCAAGCTGGTAGTTGGGGCTAAGGAAAGTCTCAAGGTCTTTATATCAAAACAGACATTCTTAGTACATATGGTCCAGCTATTCTGTTGGTTTAAAAGGAAAAGTGCATCGGCTTGAATGTATGGCAAGTGCCCAGAACTTCCGAACATAGACACCATTCCCCTTAAATCATCATATATATATTCTTTTCCACGTCTGTTGAGAAAGCTTATAAATAAAACTCATTTTGGTATGGTTCTTTGAGTTTTCTAATGAAGCTCTCTCCCTTGAGTTCTGAGTGGAGCTGTTCTCAAGAACAAAGTCTCTTGTTACCGCCGCACATCTCTGCTCCCTGTGTGCTTTCTGAGTCACTTCAGTTTAATTTATTTACCCTTTGGCTGCCTTCAATGCAACATTGGAGTCCTACTGACGTTCGTGTGGAGTATGTCATAATCAAAGGCAATAAAAGTGGTCATCTATTTTTATCCTTGGAGCCAATACCATTCCAACTCAGAAGTTAATGTTCTAGGCTCTTGAGCCCTAAACCGTGAAGTTTCTGGTCGAGTTCTAGTCCTGTAATCCTCAGAAACGGATGGTGGTGTTTCATAATTTCAAATGCAGCATTTTCTTACATGGAACATTGCAAGCGATTTTCCAGAAGAGGGACACTCTGTTTTGTTTGTGGAAGAACTAAAAGAGGGAGAGAGATGGGGTACAAATGTAGAAATAGAACCAAAATTTAACTGACCTTTCAGTAGGACATTTTTTGAGTTGTTTATTATTACTATGGGTGACTTTCAAAACAATAGCTCTCAAATATTTAACCAAAAATGTGTAGTGCAAAGTGGCTCAATTTCTTTGTTTGGTGAAATGTCAGTTGGGGGATATCTTTAATAAACACAATGTAAAAGAAGATTTCTTGGGTTTACACGAGGTGTAAGTGGTCAAGCACCATCTGAAATTCATCATGAAAGAAACAAAAAACAGCGTCAGGGTTTGAGATTCTTCTTCAACCAGAATAAGGAAAATAAAAAATTCTAACCCAGGATCTCTGAAGATGACATATATTTTTCATGGGGAAAAAAATAATGAACGTAAATAAATAAAATCAAAGCTATCTTGATGTTATTAGTGTTAGAGGAAAATTCCCTGGAACTTAGGCGTCTCTTTAAATTCTTTCTTCAGCAGGAGACTCCTTCCAAAAAGAAAAGAAAAATAACAATTATGTAGAATAATTGCAGAAGTCTAGTTGACAAGAGAAAAAGGACACTAGTTTTCTGGTTTTAAAATGGGCCCAGTTAGACCTGTCCAAATTCAGGTCTTCCTATTAAATAAGATGTTACATTTTCAAATACAAATTTCACCTATTTTGTTTAATAAACTGTAATGTCTAATGCAGTTTCCTTAGACATTACAAATAAAATATGATCTCCCTAGTACATGGCTCAATCCATGTAAAAAGATAGGGAGATGATTCACGAATGAGGAACCTTCAGACAGCAGAGGGAACAGACAGAGGCACCTCCTGTCTGCGAGGACATGAGATTTTATGACCTGGAAAGATGTCTGTGGAATGGGCACTTGAAGGTCCATGCTAGCTGCAAGAGGCATGGGTCCTGGAACGACTTCCGACCCTATTCATTACTGTCTTCCGTCTGGATGCTGGGTGACTCAGGGGCTTGGTTTTGGCACACACACACTCTCTCCTCTGAATTTCAAAGGCTGTTTAGTTCGACAGCCACTGAACTGAGTGGTTCGTGACTCAGGGAACAACTGTTTGGTGGCCAAAGAGAAATGATCTTGCCATAATAATAGCCTGCAACCTGCTATCTCCTTCCTTCCTAGAATCTCTAAGATTACAGGAAAAACTCATCCCAGGGATGCATCAACTCTGAAGTAGAGAAGTAGAAACAAAGTCGTAGGGAGACCCAGTGCCTGTAGTCTGCATCAGGATCACCACTCACCCTCCCAATCTCACCATTCCCAAATCAGAAGCAGAATGAGTCTGAAAGTCTCCTGGAATGAATTACTGATGATTTGGGGAAGTGATTTTTTTCCAACTACTTCTTATATCTCAGGAAAGATGGGTCATCACCATCGTCACCCATCAATGACGATGTCCAGATTAAGAAGATAGGCACTGAAAATCTCCCTGAGTCACTCATCAACTTTTGCACATACTTGAAAGTCACTTGCATATAAAAACAAAGTATTGGTCCTGAAGCCAATGAAACGGAAGATGCTAAGAGTCCAGTGTGAGAAAAATGTGTGAACCAACATGATGCTTACCTCTATAATTGTCAAGCATCTCTCACCAGCACCACATCTCAGTGGGGATTTTAGAGCTCACCAAAATTTAACATGAATTTCCTTTTTTAGTTTGAGGACAGGGGAGTGAGGGAGAGAATAAAGACAGTGACAAGATCCTTTTCTGATATGAAGGCAGTACAGAGGTTAAAAATGTAGAGTTTTGGATGCAGACAACCTAGGATCAAATCCCAACTCTTACTTATTAACCTCGGGCAAGTTATACCATCTCAGTTTTCTAATCTGTAAAATGGGGCTAATAAAGGCACCTACCACAAAGAGTTGTTATGAAGATTAAATAAGTGTGTCTTCCTTACTTTTATATTTATTTCTTCTCTCTTTTTTCCCTCCTAATACTCATTTTCTCTCACTCTTACACTCTCACACACAAATACACAAAAGCATAATATCATAAATACAGGAAATGCATTAAACCAGAGTTTGTAAACAACACCTCGAATTCCACATATCACTTTGGTTATGCTCTTTATCAATAAAATATATATAACTTCACATACTTTTTCAGAAATATTCCATTTCTCAAAGGTAAAACTATAGCCATCTAAGATGGAGAAGCGTGAACAATTGAATGTGAATTATTCAGCTAGATGAGTACTAGACTTCCATTTTCAGCCATGATAGCATCATTAGGATTGGACTAGTCCTCCTGCTATAAACAAATATAAAACCGAAAGAGAAGTTTTCACACTTTAGACAACAGTCAGAGAAGAAATGTAATCCCTGAGGAAAGAAGAACACATGATATCAGCCCCATAGCCACCTTTAGCTTTCTGCCTAGAAGCACCTTCTGGACGGTGATGCAGGAAGTGGTAGCTTAAGCAAGCACAATGATCTCACTGAGCTGACGGGGCAGAGATTGGAGTTCAAGGCTGCCTAGGTGACTGAAACTTGTGTGGTGGGTACCAGAGAGAAAGGGGCTGTACAGAGAGACAGAGAGAGACAGAAGAACACTCCAGAAATATGCACAAAAGTCTCCTTGGGTCTTTCACTAAATTGTGCATGCATAGGTAAAGACTGTGAGCCATGGCAGAGAATAATTACTGAGAAACTGTGAACTGAGCAAAGATTCCAGAGATTACATAGGGCTTGGAGACACTGGAGATCTGACTGGCCAGGATAGAGAGGTCTCACTGTACATATTAGGCATTCAACTGATATCTGAGAAAGGCAAAGTCTTAGAAGTAGGGCTATTCTAGTTCAAGAATAAGGGCTACTCTCTACTATCCCCACAAACTTTAAAAATAAGCCTCAAAAGGATCAGGCTAACCTGTGAGTAAATTAACCACCTGACAGAAAAGAAAGTCAACACTCTTCAAAGGAAGACAAATAAATCCACTCTATACCAATGTAAAATCCACAATGTCCAGTATACAATGAAAAATGAAAATTGCTAGCGATGCAAAAGAACAGAAAAATGCGACCTATAAACAAGGGGAAAAAAAAAGGCAAAAGAACCCAGAGCCAACACAGATGCTAGAATTAGTAGACAAAGACTTTAAAACATATCAAGAACTTAAAGCAAAAACTAGATGTAATGGGTGAACAGATGGGGAATCTCAGAAACAGAAACAGAAACTATAAAAATGATCAGATAAAAATTCTAAAAGTAAAAATTATGATATCCAAAATAAAAAATTTACTGAATGAGCTTAACAGCAAATTGGATGCTGTAAAAGTAGAGACTAAGGAACCTGAAGCCCAGAAAGTAAAGAACTGAAAAAAACGAATAGATCCCAGGGACAATGTGAAACGGTCTAACATAGGTGTCACTGGAGTCCCTGAAGGAGAGGAAAAAGAGACTGAGTCAGAAAAGTATTTGAAGACCCAATGACTCACTTTCCCTCCACATTTGGTGAAAAACGTTAATCCACAGATCCCAGAAAGTCAACAAACCTCAAGAAGCAAAAATACAAGCAAAACCACACCTAGACACATCGTAGTCACATTGCTGAATCCAAAGGTCAACAGAAAAACCTCTAAAATAGCCAGGCAATCACATATAGAAAAACAAAAATTAAAAGTTTGCTGACTTCTCATCAGAAACAATGAAAGCCGGAAGACGATGGAATGACACCTTAAAGTGCTGAAAGGAAAAAAATTACTTGCCAACTGAGGATTCTACATCCAGTGAAAATCTCTCTCCAAAAGCGAAGGTAAATAGACTCTTTTTCACATAAACGAAAGCTGAGAGACTTCGACACTAGCAGTCTGCGCTGTAAGAAATGTCAAAGGAAGTCTTTCAGGCTGAAGGAAAATTGCTTACACAAAGGAGCAAAGAGCATCATATACATATATGGGTAAATACAAGAATTTTTATTTCCTAATTTCATAATTTCCTTGAAGGTAATTATGTAAAAGTGTGATTTATAATATATGCAGAAGTAAAATGTATGAAAATATCACATCGTAAGATTCTCACAATATACATGAAATGGCATATTAATTCATCGAAGGCTATGATAAGTTAAGAATGCAAATAATAATTCCTAGGCAAACCAGAAAAAATTAAAGTCAGACAGGTATAGTTAAAATCTACTAAAGGAGATAAAACAGTGCTTAAAAATACTAAATTCTTATGGAAGAAGGAGGAAAAAAGAAGCAAAGACTGATGAGACAAATCACAAACAAATAAGATGGTGGACTTAAATCCAAGTGTAGTAAAAATTACGTTAAATGTAAATTGATTAAACACTCAAATTAAAAGACAGTTATTGTCAGGCTGGATAAGAAAGCAAGCCTTAACTATATGCTAAAGAGTTGTACTTTGAACATAACCAAACAGATTAGTCAAAAGAAAAAAGAGTGGGAAAAGATATAATGTATAGACACTAATCATGAAGAAGCTGGAGGGTGATATTTTTTAATACTAATAATATTAACATCAGATTATATTAACAGAGATAAAAAAATTTCATAATGATAAGCCACCTCATCAAGAAGAAATAATCCTAAATGAGAATGCACCAAGCAACAGTGCTTCAAAATACAATAAGCACAAACAAACAGAACCAAAGGGAGAAATAGAAAAATCCAAAATTATTGCTTGATTTGAACTCTCCTGTCACAGTAATTGATAGAACAAGTAAACAAAAAATTAGTGAGAATACAAGATTTGAACAATACTATCAAACAACTTTAATCTAATTAACGCTTGTGAACGCTATACCCAACTTCTGCAGAATCCAATTTTTTCAAGCACACAGGAAATGGTCACTAACATAGAACATATATGGGCCCATAAAACAAGTGTCAATAAATTTCAAAGGATTAAATCATATTTGGTACGTTATCTGACAACAAAAAAATTAAATTATAAATCATCAGCAAAAAGAGATCTATAATATCCTCAAATTGAATTTGAAATGCATAATAATTTTTAAAATCACATATGAAAAGTTGTGGGACACAGCCAAGGCCATGCTTAGAGGGAAATTTAGAACTCCATGTACTTATTTTAGAAAAGAGGAAAGATCTAAAATAAACAATGTAAGAAGCTAGACAAAGAAGAGGAAATTAAAGCCAAAATATGTAGGAATAAAAAATAATAATAAAGATAAGAACAGAAATCAATAAAATAGAAAACATAAAATCAAGAAAATCAAATATTGGTTCTTTGAGAAAGATCAGTAAAGTTAATATATTCCTAGGTAGACTGATCAAGAAAAAAAGAGAGAGAAAGCATGAATTAACAATATAAAGAACGAAAGAGGGGCATCACTGTGGAACTTTCAAACATTTAAAGGATAATAAAAGATTATTATGAAAAACTTTATGCCAATAAATTTGAGAATTCAGTTGAAATAGAATTTGTGTCCTAGACACTGATACAAGAAGAAACAGAAAATCCAAATAACCCTATATTCTTTACTTTAGGAGGAGAAATTAAAAACTTTCCACACAGAAAACTCCAGGCTGGGATGGTTTCACTGATAAATTCTACCCAACATTTAAAACAGAAATAACACCAATCTTATATGAATTCTTTCAGAAAATAGAGGAGGAGGGAATATTTCCCAATTTACTTTTTTTTTTTTTTTTTAAAGACAAAGATTTTTTTTTTTTTTAAAGATTTTTTTTTTTTCCTTTTTCTCCCCAAAGCCCCCCGGTACATAGTTGTGTATTCTTCGTTGTGGGTTCTTCTAGTTGTGGCATGTGGGATGCTGCCTCAGTGTGGTCTAATGAGCAGTGCCATGTCCGCGCCCAGGATTCGAACTGACGAAACACTGGGCCGCCTGCAGCAGAGTGCTCGAACTTAACCACTCGGCCACGGGGCCAGCCCCTCCCAATTTACTTTTTGAGGCTAGCATAACTCTGATAATAGCCAAGAACATTATATAAAAAAAGAAAATTACAACTAATATCTCTCATGAACAGAGACGAAATTATTTAACAAAATATTAGCAAATCAAATCCAACAATATATAAAAGTGATAATATATCATGACCAAGTGGAGCTTATTGCGGGAGTGCAATATTGGTTTAATATTTGAAAATCAATGTATTCATCACATTTACAAAATCAAGAACTGTCGCATGATCATTTCAATATATTCAGAAAAAATACTTAAAGTGTAACAACCATTCATGAAAATAAAAAAGTTTCAGTAAACCAGGGACGAAGAGAACTTCTTTAACCCGATAAAGGACATTTATATACAACCTGCAACTAACTTCCCCCACCCTACTAAATTCAAGAACAAGGCAAGAATGTGTTTTTTCACCATTTCTCAACACTGTACTGATTGTCCCAGTCAGGGCAATAAAGAAAAAACAAACAAACAAAAAAGGAAACATAGCCATAAAGTTTAGGGAAAAAAAGCAGCAGCAGCAAAACTGTTTTTATTCGTGGATGACATCCGTCCTAGAAACAAGAATCAGGCCCAGTCAGATTATTGACCATGTCACCAGTCACCAAACTGCATAACCATGTAGACAACCTCCAGGAAATCCCCCTAATATTCAGGGCCCACCCTTTCAGGATTTAGGCCAAAACAAGGACAAAAAACTGCTATGGGCGAATTGTGTTCTGCAGTGGAAAGAGCCCTGGGCTAGAAGTGCCTTAATGCTAGATTTGCCAGTAAAAACTAGGTGACTTGGATCTGTTACTTCACCTCATCTTTGCCTCTATATCTTCATCTATAAAATGGAAAAGTTAATCATTTCCAACCTTAAGATTCCAATTTTGGTCCCAAATAGGCAAATATTTGTTCATTAAGCTTCTAGCCCTAGACAAAATTCAAGTAGCAGGAACAATGCTCCATCACTGCCAGGATCCTGA